CCCCCCCGTGCCCCCCCCCCCCGGCTCGGTGACTGTTGCCTCCTGGGTTGGGGGGGGCACCCAGGGTCTCCCTGCGGCCAATCACTAAGCCAGGGAAGTGCGGGGGGACCCCCAGCATGCTCCCCGGCAAACCTGAAGGTGGACCGGAAGTACTTCTAGTCCACTTCTGGGCTTGCCGCTGAGCACATGGAGGGCCCCCCTGCAATCCTGTGGGTTGCTCCATGCACCCCAGCATCACAGCGATCATGAGCCGTGCCTGCTACTTCAAGGTGTGTAGAAAAGACATTTAAAGCTGTGTCTATGCCCAAATCACTGATTCTCTGAATCAGCATCGAATCTTCAGATTTGGATTCAACCAAACTGAATCAGGGACAGTGATCCTAATCAACAAATTAAATCACTGTCCCTGATTCAGGCTGAATCTGAACCTGAATAGAATAGGGCCTGCTTTGCACACTCCTAATGGGCTGAGACACACCAGATTCCGACTGCCTAGGCAAAAGGTTATAGGGACTAATCCTACTCACCTGAAACCCCATCCTTTACTAAATCCCTCTTACCCTATCTTCTGCTGTACTCTTTGGACTGGAGGACCAAGAATTCTGTGGGCTCCTATACACATGTAGTCTGTTGGAGCACAAACATTGATGTGCTTCAGCAGCCTTCCATGTCACATGTATCAGCATTGCTGCGTGTGTCTGCGCTAAAAAAATGGCGGCAGTGCACTGTGAAAAATAAAACATATTCAATGAGCTTTAGTTCAAAGTGCCCCACCTCCATTTTTTCAGCGTGGGGATATGTGGTGATGCTGATTCACATGATGTGCAGGCACTTTTTATTAGTGTGGCTCACTAATTAAAGCATCCAGTGCCATGTCCTGCAGCATGTGTAAAAATGCCTTATGAGTTTAACTTAATCTCCCCACATGTTGGCACCACTTGGGAGTCAGAAAGGCTCCCTCAGAGGCTAGATTTACCAGCCATAGGAATCAGAATAGAAAAGTAGGGCTGAAAGGGATCTCCAGAGGTCATCCTGCCTCAAGTGGTGGATTGGATTAGATCATCCCCATCCAAATCATCCTATACAAGTGCTTGTCTAACCTATTTCTAAAATGAAACAATCAACCTTGTCGTAGAACTACAAGGGATATTGTATGGGAAGAGTGAAACACCCACCATTGTGCTCTACAGCTTGGTAACAGCAAGCATAATTTCATACATCGCACCCTCTAACTGGACAGCCAGAATTCCGCTTTCTGTATCCCTCCATAAATTTACCCCAGCTCTTTTAATCTTTTTTTCATAACTGAACAAGTTGTGGAGCTATGCTTCATTCTCCTGCTGCTGAGCATGGTCCTTTCTAATATCTATGGGCTTTTGACTGTAGAACTCTTTCATTATCTCCCACTAATCTGTGTGTGGAGGGGAAGATTGAGGGACACTGCTTGGTTCCAACTGTTATACTTTACAGCACATTCCAGGCATAGCTAATCCTACATCATCCCTGACCAATGTTTATTCAGGTTCTTCTTGAAAACCTCCAAAGATGGAGATTCCACAACTTTCCTGGGCAGTCTGTTCCACTGCCTCACTAGTCTAATAGTGAAGAAATTTTTCCTGGTATCCAATATAAACTTTGCTGCAACTTCAAGCACATGGCATGTGTCCTCCTTTCTGTAACAGGGAAAATAGATTTTCTTCCTCTTCTTATGGCAGCCCTTCATGTATTTGAATACTGCTATCACATTCCCTCTTAATCATCTTTTTTTGCAAATCAAATATGCCTGTCTCTTTCAACCTTAAAGTCCAAGGGGCCATAATATGCAGCAGAAACACAGATTGCTGATGCGGCTTTTACCTGACAATCTTGCCCACTCCAATTTTTCCCTCAGTGATTCTGTAAGGATGTGCTTAGCTCTCAAGGCTAAGTACAGACAGTCAAAAAATGCGAGATTGAATTGATTCAATCTTCACAGGTTAATTTCAGCTGCATGCATGAATGGCACATGCCCCCAGCAGCTGCGGGGGTATGGATGCGCTGGCGGCCTCGGGAGCACGGCAGTGATGGTGGGAGCATGGCGGCAGTAAGCGGGGGAGCTCCTGCAGATGCTGCAGGCACTGTCAGTAGCAGGTTGGAGGGGCGGGTGGGCGGCAAGCGCCAACCAGGGGTTGGCAACCACCTGAAGGTGCCAGCGGCAGTGGTGGCCAGGGGTGATCGTGGACCACCCACAAATGCCACTGACTAGCAGTGCCTTTTTGCAGGGGGTGCACCCCCTATGCATCACTCCTGTTAAGCTGCACAGATTGAACTGATAAGCAAGTGGAGAGACATTCACTTTTGATTCCGGAAATGCAGTCACATGCCTGCAGCGGCTTGGGCCAGAAGCCAGGGATGCTACAGCTCCCTGGTGGGCTGTGGCAGGCAGCTTGGGCCAAGGCTAAGCAGACCACTCTGTAAGGGGGGTGGGGGTTGCAGGGGAGGTGCAAAGCATCCTGGGATTCCGGGGGACTTTGAGTTAACTTGAATCTGGAGGGGATCTGGGACAGAAGTTCAATAAATTGATATAACCTAAATCAGTTAAGTCTGATACTACATCCATCCAGGTTTATCTTAAAACTGGTTTTACCTAGTTTGAAAGCAGTTTATGTTTACTGAACTTCTGTTGTGTTATAGAAGTGAACTGCTTTCTGATTGATTATACAAGTTTATGTGTAATTTCTGTCCTTAGCTTAAGAGTCTCTAACCTAGCTGCAGCTGATCAGTGGATAGTAGTCTGCCTGGCTGGGAGACTAGTAGCCAGCTGGAACAATAAACACTAGGAGGCTTAAGAACTCCTGGAGGGAATGGTAGAGGAAAAGAAGGCAGGCTGCTGTGCTGGTGAGAAGCCCAGAGTTAAAAAAAATGCCCTTTTCCTGTTGTCTGAAGTAAGACAGAGGGTTTGGTAGTTTGCTTCCTTGTTTGTTTATTTGTTCTGTTTATTGCATAGAATAAAAAATTGCTCCATGTAGAATAAACTGGCCTGAGAACCTGAAACTGGAGCTGGCTTGCCTTAGTCAGCAGTGTACGTGACCTGCTTAGATGTGGTGGAGAAATTGGGCATTGTACACTTACCTAGAACCATGGAGTCAGAAACTTAAAATGGCTAGAAGACCTGTAATAGCAGCAGCTATGCCAACAGCTACAGCTCTAGAGGCAGCAGTGCCAGTGAGAGGAGGAACAGCATCAGTTTATGCAGCATCTCTTGGAGCACGAGAAGACTCTCACGTAGTTGGTGTGTCACCCTGTTTTCAAATGGAGGACGGTGGGGTACTTATGAAGACGGGGCTGGCAGATGGCCTAGAGGCCTGCTTTGAGAATTTTGAGCAAGTGGCCAAGGTCTACCAGTGGCCACAGGAATTCTGGGCTCTTGAAATAGTTCCTTTTTTTAACCAGGGAGGCTTAGGCAGTCTACTGGAGCCTTGGGGCTGCTTCAGCCCAGGACTGTAAGACTCTTAAGGCTGTTATTTTGGACTCCTGTTTAATGGATGAGGCACATTGGTGCAGATTTAAACAGGAGACATTTAATTCTGACTCTCAGCCCTGAGCTGTTGTCCAAAGATTGAAAGAGTTCTGCACCTGCTGGTTAAAACCTGGGTAAAGTTCAACCTCAGAAATAGTGGAGCTGGTGGCTTTAGAACACTTCCGGTCCATGCTGAGGTCACTGCTATGGAGGTGGACTTGGACTGTAAGAATTCCCTGGAAGCCCAGCAGGGCCTAAGTTTTAGGAGACTGGGACCATGGAAGAGACCACCTGCAACAAAAAGGAACTTTTCTTAGGACACCACTATCTGAGTCCCTATCTTGATTTCCTTCAAGACTATGGTTCAGTGGACTGCCCTTGAAGGATTGTCTGGGGTAAAGAGGGAAACTTGGAGCAGGCTAGCAGCCTCACAGTAAAATGGAGTGGTTACTTGACTTGTTTTAAATATGGTCAGGAGGACCATCAGTACAGGGACTTCTCCAAATGGACTATGAGTATGTCCAAGCTTAAATATCAGGGGCATCAAGGGAATGCCCAGATCTGAAGAGTTATGTGGTGTCAATTAAGATAGGTGATGAGTCTGGTAGACTTAGGATCTGGACAGACCTTTACACATGAATGGTTTGTGGACCCTGAGGAACTGCAAAGGGTGCAACATGTCTACGTGTTGCAAATATCAGACAGTACCTACAACCAACGTGAACCTAACTACTGGGGAGAAATAAGTTAGGATATTCACCACTGTGGCCCAACACCTGACCTGTCTAATGGATAGGTCAGCATTGGAGCTCAATGACCAAACTGTTATGGTTGGCTTGGAAGGTTGAGATGAATTTGATTGATCCCAGTCCAGCCAAGCAGGAGTTAGAGGGGAATTTATCAGTTGCAGATTTTGCCTTTTAGACTCCACAGGGCCCTTGCCACCTTCCAGTGTTCAATTAACTCTGTCCACATTGGGCATATGCAGCTATGTATCTGGATGATGTGGTAATAATCACTAGCAGCAGGGACAACCACATCCAGGGGATGAAAGCAGCACTGCATTCACTCAGATTGGCATGTTTACAACCAACCCAGCTAAATGCCTCCAGAGGGGCTCCCCTCATCATCGTCATTGACCATGCCTCACTCTTGTGACTTCATGACACATAGGAGGCAAACCCCAGGTTGACACAGTGGTATCTGTCCCAGCAACTATATGCATTTTCTGCCTGCCACCATGCTGTAAAAGTGCATGCAAAGCCAGTTTCCTCTCCCAAGAAGCGGGCAGCCTAGACTTGGAAGAGTGTTTCTCAGGTTCCGCTCTTGAGTAGGAGGATGTGTAAGGAAGTGCTCAGCCCTCAAGGGCCTGGAACCTAACTGCAGCCGATCAGCTGTCTGTCTTGCTGAGATGCTGTGGACCAGCTGGCACTCATAACCTGCTACTGAGAGTGGAGCCATAAGAAGGCTTAAGAACTCCCTTGGGGGAGTGCTGGAGGACAGGAGGGCAGGCTGCTGTGCTGGGGAAAAGCCCAGAGTTAAAATTGTCCCTCTCCTGATGCCTGAAATAAGACAGAGGGTTTTGGTTTTGGTTGGTTGGTTGGTTCTTTTGTTTGTTGTGGAGACAAGATTGCTCCATGTAGAAAAAAGTAGTCTGTGAACCTGAACCTGGAGCTGACTTGCCCCTCTAGGACAGCAGGGTAGATAACCTGCTTACACATACACAGTCCTTGTCCAAGACAGAGTAGAATTGTCTGGAGCCTGAAAGACCTTACTTTACCCTCTTAAAATTGAAAAGCTAAGAACTCTCTACACAGAGTCTTATATAAAACTGGTAGCTTTTTAGTGGTGTGACAAATTTTACTCTGTTCTTCTGTTTCTTTTTCTTTGGACCCATTTTGGGCACATCTAGTGCTGTTATAGAACCACTAGAACCATGGCTCCTAACACCAGTCAGTTTTTAAATGAAAAGAACTGCAAGGCACATAAGAGTAGACCTGTTTATTGGTTTGGGCTGGCCAGACTGTGTGTGACATCACAGGTTTAGTGCGGCCTGTGGGATGCTGCCTCCTCATCTCCACTCCGCTTGGTTTTCCTTTGCTGTAGAGTTGGGTGTCATGAGGGAAGAAAAGTTTGGCTTTCGTAGGGAGCTAGGCACTCTGCTCTTCAGCTTATTCAGCTTGTCCCTCTCATCCTGACACTTCTTCAAGCAGGGATGGCACAAGTCTTTCTCATCCACTAAGTAAAGTGATTCAATGCGCTTGATGGTGTCGACAAACAATTCTTCATCTGTTGGTGTGGGAAAGGGGTTTCTTTTCACATTCAGCTTCTTAAGTTTTGGGAGCTTTGCCACACTGTTTGGGATGGCTGTCAAGTAATTGTCAAAGAGCCCCACTTCGTGTAGCTCCTTCAGGGCCCCTAGTGTGGTGGGGATGTTGTCGATCTGATTAAGGCCAAGGTTGAGGGAGCGGAGGTTCTTTAACTGGCTCAGTTCTACTGGCAAGTTCTTGGAGGTCAGCTTGTTATTGGAGACATTCAGGTAGCTGAGGTTCTGGAGCATGCCTATTGTCTCTGGCAGCTTCTCGATCTGATTGCTGTGCAAGTCCAGCCAGCGCAGGTTCTGGAACTTCTCGATACTGTCAGGGATTTTCTTGAGCATGTTCCTGCTCAGGTCCAGCTCATCTACATCAGCCAGCTTGAGGATGCACTTGGGGAAGGTTGTGATGCCCATCTTGCTCAAGTCAAGGCGGCGTCTTCCGTCAAATGTGATCTTGATGGAATTTTTGGCAACCTTCAAGGTGATTTTTTTTCCTTTGGGACCTTTTGCCTTCCCCTTGGCCATTTTCCCGTGAGGAGAGAAAAGACTGTTGAATATTCTAATGGAGAAGCCCAAAGAGAATCTGTTGAGGCTGGCTTTCTGGTAATCCCTAATTTGGAACAGAAAGTGACCTCTTTAGAAATTAACCAATGACTGCTAGATTCTTTGCAACTCTCAACATTTTCCCTAAGTCAGGAGTTCTCAACTCAGGCATCGTTACCTCCTCCTCACCTAAAAAAGCGTCACAAATAGATATCAGGGGGTTGCGACTACCCTGCCCAACTCTTATGTATAAAAAGAGGGGTCACAGCTAGATCACAGAGGAAAGGAGACTCACCTTGGGAGAAGTTGTTCAACACTAGATTAGGGCACTAAAGGACTTTAAGAATGAGGATTTTTCAGCTGTTCATTGAATCCAATTTATTCTAGTACTGAATGACATATTGCCATCCATTGGCCATTTGAAAGCCAGACAGAAATTGTAGGTCTTGTTCTGGTCTCCAGGGTACATTTGCTTGACTGAATGAAGCACACCAACCAGAATAACACTAGTTACATGAGATGCTCTGTGTCATCCAGAGTAGTGGTTTTCATAATTTTTTTGGCCACGTACCCCTTTTACTGCAAAATATTTCTGTTTACACCCTCTATACCCAACATGTCTCTGAATGTTCATATCTTAGGAAAAGTATCAAAACGAATGTCAACATGCAGCAGTGCCATTACTCATTGTACATTATGAGTAATGGCACAACCATTATGAAAATGTAGACACCTATCCTTTGGCAAATTGCTACATACTCATTTTGAAAAGCAGTGGCCTAAAGAGCAGGTATAGAAGAGTTTTCCTTTCCTCTGGAGTACTGTAGTTACATGCACTGTACAGTGGGATGAGGATTTCATCCCTAGTATTTAAATATATTTAAGCACAAAGCTCAAGAGATTTGCTAAATTGGGGCCTTAGTCTGTGGATAAATACACACGTTTGGGGAAGTTAGATCACATTTAAAATGGCCACACTGATCTAAGGTAAGTCGGGAAGGGGGATAGTGTGGGGGGGGGATTGCTGTGATCAAGGGAGACAAGCAGGCTCAGAGGGAGGATTGGGAGTCCATGGTGGGAATGGGGGACAAGTGGGATCTGCTGGAGTGATTGGGGGATCACTAGGAGATCGGGAGTTCAGGCAGCATCTGTCGGAGGGATCAAGGGTGCAGGCAGCATCCATAGGAGTGATGTGGTAACAGGTGGCAGCCACAGGGGGATTGGGGAGCCAGGCAGTGTCCACAGATGGATCAGAGGGGCAACCAGCATCCGTGGGAGGGAATGGGGGGCAGGTGGAGTCCATGCAGGGACTAGGGGGCAGGCAGTGGCGGCAGGGGGAACAGGGATGCAAGCAGCATCTGCGAAAGCAATCAGGGGGGAAAGCAG